TCATACAGTGATTATTGGACCTTTAAAGAGTATTCTTAGGAAGTTTCAGCTGAATCCAAGTTTGAGCAATTTTCGTCGTAGTAGCACTTTAAGAAAAATACCTAATTTCTTTTTGTGTCGAAAGGACCAAATAAGATTGGTTAACCAATTTACTTGGTTGTTTCAATCACCCCCAGTCAGTTTTTACAGTGTACATTTATCAATAATGGCTTTTTAAACAATTCTTATGTTTTCATGGCTGTTGTTGATAATCTTAGATCCAAAATTTGTCAACATTCGTGGAGCTGGTCGAAAAAGGACGGCACATGGCGTCGATATTACAGCTGAATATGAGTTTTGCAGAAGGAATGCAAAATAAATCAGATAAAGAACGCAATAGGGCATATATACAGGGAATGTGGAAAAACCTGGGACCAATCCTGTGTGGCTCTGGGCCTGAAGAACAACCTGACAAAGTGGTTGAACATATGTTTGACTTCCGCTGTCTGACCAAGTCATGCAAGACCAGAGCTTTAAGATTGATGTTTTACCTGCTAACTCACAATCCCAAAATCCTTTACGCACCCAACAATACTGCTGCCGATGATGTCATCATAGAGGTATACAAAATATAATTCATTAAAGATATTTTTATCTTATGGGGCACAGGGAGCCCAAGCAAGGTACTCTAGTACCTTATTGAAATGAAATGTATGTGGAAGAATGTTTGCATGTTGCTGCTGTTCTTTGCAATTGTCTCTGTACGCGATTTGGAGCCACTCTGACAAGTGAGTTTTAGCTTTTATATGTGCCTACCAACATACATACTTTAGTAAGTATACCCGTGTCATGGCTAATATCGCATCGATCACAAAGCTGACAAAACACCACGAACGTTTTGTAACTATTCTGAAATGATGTTTTCCCCGCCATAACTAATGGCAATGTTATTTGTAAATGTGTATCTATTATATAGGGTTTCCCGGTTTAAGTTAAATGCCAAACTAAGAAAATGATTTAGTAAGCTTATTTTGTTTGGTTTCTTGCTCGCATCATTACATCTATCATTCTTATATTTTTACCTTTTTAGGCAAATCGTACCTTCTCAGACATTGAAGCTTTGCAGAATATTGTCAAAGAATGGCTGAACCAATCAGCACAATTACGAAGTGTTCTCCTTAATAACAACACTCAATATTACCTGCACAAGCTGGCAGACGCTGTTAAAGATTACCCTGATATCTTCTTTGAAGAAAAATCGAATATCTCTAACCGAGATCCCTCGAGTTCATCCAGTTACTATCGAGACATTCATGAACTGCTCACAGGTAAACAGGGTGTCGCCAGTCCCATTGTTGAGCAGTTGGACAGGATTGACGCTGTCGTCAAAATATGGTTAAGGCAAACATCAAATCTGCGACTCAATATTTTTGTTGGATTCACGGATGAGGAATCTTTGGTCRGCTATGCCTTTAACAATACTGGCGCACGGTCACAAGACTCTAAGGTAGTAGCAGGTAATGCTTTTTAAAAATGGTTTATACAGTATGAGTTTTCTAGTTATTGTGGGGCATCTGTGGGACATCGATGGGGTTAAAATGCGCATGTTTTGTAACAATTACTTCCCGTGAGGGTATTTTCCTTGAATTTCGTTCCAAGCACAGTATACCACTAAATATATTCCTTACGACACACAAATCTCAACGCACGTGTTGTTTTTACCCGTGGAAAATTGGTGAATCCGGAGGAAAAAAACGTGCTAGGTTCTAGTAGGATTTGGGTTAGTTGGGCTCTAGTAGGAATTAGGATTGACTCATAAAATTAAGTTCTACTGATTGAGTCAAACATCGAACTTATTTATTTCGATTAAAGCAAGTGAAACCAAACAAATAATGTTTAATGATTATGCGGCTACACCATTAAAATGGCGTCCATAATAGCAACTCGCCGAGCAAATTTCTGTATAATCGATCATGTAAACGTATTGACTCGTGTTTGTCTTTTTTT